AATCGGTGCAATTTTAGTGACTTTATTTGAGCATGAGAAAAAATTAACAACAAATAAATTAACGGCTGTGCATTAAGTGGACTTTTTTGGTATTAACGAAAATTACCGAACAAAGCAAGCGGTGAAACGGCTAAAAAGGAAAATTTAACACTACCAAAACAAGCCAAGTTAAAGCTGCTTTTTGTGCTAACCAAATTTGGGTAGTCAGATACATTTATAAATACATACAAACCAATGTATTCATTTTCATATATAGTATGATATTTTGGAAACAACTGGATTTTTCCAGAATTATATATTAAAAAATTATTTGTATTAAATTGATTTTAATAAAAGATGCTACTATTTTTATTTATATGAAAAGTAGTTTTAACTGAGATGTTAGTAAACTGCAAAGTGAATAAATAAATGATTATACAAATTCAGAAGTGGCATGAATCAAACATGATTTGCTCGTAATTTTTTTTATAATTTATTTCTCGTTTTGCTTTATAAGCTTGCCAATAATCATCCTGTGAAAAAAAACTTTCGATAAGAGATTTCGTCTACCAAATTTTATTATTATTCATTTGTTTTTGGGGAAATTTATTTTCGGTCTGGTTGTAAAATAATTTTTATATATTTTGATTTTATCTTTTGTTATTTGTTTTTAAATTATTTTATAGTTGCTTTTAAATTTTCCTCATTTGGTATCTTGGGATCCTGTGAAAAAAGAATACTTCGATAAGAGATGTTGCCTGCCAATTGTTTTTTTTTGTTGTTGAAAATTTACATTCAGACTTGTTAATTTTTTTTTATTTTGTTTTTTTTTATTTGTTTTTACAATTTTTGAAATTTATTTTGCAAATCATGAATCATGCTGTTGCAAATAGCTCCCGATAGCGATTTCTTCTGCCAATTTTTTTATTTTTATTTTTTGAAAATTTATTTTCAGGCTGATTACAAAATAGTTGACGCGTCGGAAACTTAATAAGATTTAACAGTGTAAATAAGCAAAAACATTTTTGTGAAGAAAAATAGAAAATAATAAAAAAGAGTTAGAAGCGTTAATAACAAGTAATATGATAAATAAACTAAACTGATATTTTGACTGATGCACTAAGCGTTTTTATAGGAATTCCTTTTTGTTTCAAACACTGAGAATAATCTATCTAACTTTTTTTTTATTTTATTCACTCCTCTAAATTATCGTAAAATTGTCCCAAAATTTTACTTTTTTCAAAATAAAATTTATTTTTGAATCGAAAAAGGCGCTTGATAATCCATATGTGTCACAAATTGAAAGGCACCTGTCATACGTTCAATATTTTTTGTAATATTGGGATCGTGATCCATATTAATCAGTGAATGCTATATGTTCAATAATTACCACGTCAGTATTTATTCGAGATTTTGAAACAAATATGGTAAAAAATAGTTTCGCTTTATTATTTGTTTAATTTTTTGTCCGATTTTTTTTCTTATAAAATGTCGGAAAAACTTAAAAAATGTTTTTATGGTTTGGAACATAAAAATTCAAAGAAAGCGTTGTATCAAAAAACTTCTAGCAACCATTGTAAAGAATTTACCGGATCTATGAAAATACTAAAACTTTTATATAAATATAGATAAATAATACAATTTAAAAAAGTTCCATGTTTTTATCGCGCAATCAATGTTAAACGTTTAACGCACGGACTAATCCGCGATCCGGATTCCAAAATATTTATATATTTTGTTATATAGATAGCTATACATCAATATTGCATGCCACACGTTCAATAAATATCGCAATTCTAGGTAGCGTTCAATATATGTTGAACGGATAGCACTCCCCAATAAGACGCTAATTTGTCTGTCAACCTTATAAATCCATTCGACACTTTCAAAACTTTTTCCGAAAAACTGAATCTTGGCTAAAAATTTTGAATCTTCAATGCTTCTGCCGCGGTGAAATTTTTTTTTTTTTCAATTTCAAATAATCGTTTTTGTTATCAAAGAAATATAATTTTTATAATAAATACAATTTAACTTTTTGGCAATTTTTTGGAATTTGCTTTGATTGATTAGTTATATTTTTATTGTGAATTAATCAATAATATTTTACTTTCATCTTAATTTTTCATAATCACAATACTTTTTGTATATAACTTTATGGAAATTTTATATAATTAAATTTTTTTTCTTTCAACAAACTTTTAATTACAAATAAATTATTTTTTAATGATATACAATTATATTTAAAATTATAAAATTTTTAGCTTATTTTTTGACAAAAATATTGTTTTATTTTACTGTGATTAAATTAAATATATTTTAAATTCATATTATTTTTTTATGATATAAATATTTTTTATATAAAATTTTTGTGGAGTTTTATATTTTTTTAGAAATTTTATAAAATTTTTTATTATATACCAAAAATATTTGCATATTATGAAAAACAAATTATTTATTTAATTTAATAAATATTTTTTGAAATTAAATTAATTTTTTTCTTCGAAAAATGATGAAATTAATTAATGATATCTTTGTTATACTAATTTTTACAGTACTTATTTTTTAATTTTTTTCTGTTTTCGAAACATAATGAAAATAATTAATGATTTCTTTGTTATACTCCTTTTTACTCACCTTTAAGTAATATTTTCCAAAATATATTTTTTGTTTATTAGCTTTATATTTTATCTTATTTTTTCTTTATTTTTATTAAATGTATATATTTTTTTATATTTTTGCAAATAATAACATAATTTATATGCAACTCGTCTTTATGAACCCATTAAACCAATTGTGCTCAGATTCATTCACCATAAAACGACTAATTGTATAGCTTTTCAGCATTATCAATGAGGCGTGCGCTATAGAATATATTTATATATTTTTTAAATGTGCTATTATGCGCACCAAATTTAAATTTACTGTAGAAATCGCAAAAAAAACACAACAAAGTATTGCTTTACTACCCAAATTGTTACTATGAAACCCACACTAAAAAAATTAAAATCGCAACAATTGCACTTTAAAAATTCACAAAATGTTAGCAAATAATTGCGTAAAACACACTAACACATAAACAGAGAAATTGCCAAAATATTTTTTAAAAAATTGTTTTTGTAGTCGCTTGTTAAATTTTAAATTTTTTCGGATGTCCCTCTGAAATTCCGGCACTTAAGCCGCGAAATATACGCAGTATAAACATGTATAAATTTGTATTTAAGTAAGCGGATTTTCAGCTGGCAATGACGTCATGCCGGTAGTGGCGTGCTTGGTTATGCCTGCCGGTCTCGCACTGCCCAACAGAGGTCCAACACTTTATCGACAGTGTGTCGATTTCGGCTTGGACGAACAAGTACAATATTCGCAATTGTAGAATATGCATACAAACATACATACATATGTGCATATATTAGTTTTGCATACAAAACTCATTAATCTAGTTCTTTAGCTTGTTGTTTTCTTTCGTCTTTGCACGACGCTACGTCTTACTGCCTACGCAAGTCTTAAATTACTCTCTTCTGATTTATTTCACTGCCAAATGACGTCACTCCTTACTGATTTTAATATGTTTGAATTTAAAAAAATTTGTTTTTGCGCTGAATTATGATGACTTACGTGTACTTGATGTAATTTGAGTCGTTAATGTTTGACGTGCTGGTAAACACTTCAATATGCGCCTTGTTATTGTTGTTTTTACATGTGTACATACATATGTTACTTTAGCATCTTGTTGGCAATTTTTTTTATTAACTCAAATTACTTTTTCTTTTTTCGCGTAGACTCAGTTGAGTCATTTTGTATTTCTGCGACGATGTCGTTATTATTATGATTGACACTGTCGTGTATTTGCTTGTTTTGATTTTTTGTTCGTATAAAATTGTTTTCTTTGTTTGTTGTTTAGTCTATTTGTGTATCCAATAAAGCAAATTGAAGGTGGACCTCCGATACAAAAAACAAATAAAAATAAAATGAGAATAACTAAATAATTTTTTTTTTTTTTGCTAAAAATAAACAATTTATAAATTGCACTCATCAGTGCACATACCTCTGTATGTATGGCGCATACGCTTGTATTAGTATAAATACATGTTTTTTTTTGGTCATCGTGCTACGCGTGACTTAATTGTTGTAGACAATCTGTCGAACCCCTTGGACCGTAAATTTTTATTTCTGTATATATACCGATAAAATATTTTATATTTTTTTTTAAATTTTCACTGCTGAGTAATGGATGCTCCGATTGCAAAATATTCAGGATTTTCTTTATGGAGTATTGGAAACCCTGAATTCTGTCTGTGGTATCCTGGAATCTCTGACTTTGATGATTTTTCTCAGTGTAGTATTTGAAGAACATATTTTTACATTGTTCTGAATTTTTTCTGTGCAATTTTAAGGATTTTTCTGATTTTTGTAAAATTATTTTTTTGCGAATATAGCTATCATCAAAGGTCTACCGCCGCACCTTGCTTCACCACTAAATTATATGCTATATAATATATACTATGAACTCAATAAAAGTATCGTAAAAACTTCAGAAATAATATATATAATTGATCTCTACTATAACTTGCCGAAATATCAACTTCCTAAAGGTTCACACCTTTGGCTTTCATTACAATTTTCGAGTTACGTATCTAGCCTTATTATTTTCTTAATTCAAATGTAGCCGTTTTCCTATTATTGCTTTGACACATTACCACTTCCAGCACCCTGTTTGGGTCCGAAAGCGAAACGAAAAGTTCAAATACTATTTATAAAATTTTCCCTCACTTGTCAAAAACCTTTTGTAAAAAAACAAAAATTAAATTTGAAAACTAAAAATCAATTTTTTTTAACCAAAACTATAAAAATTTGCAAACTCATACAATAAACTGACAAATCTATGCTTTACGACGACGTAGTTGTACGTTTATTTAAAAGTTATTTCTGCAAAGAGATTAAATTTTAATTATTCTTAAGGTCTCTCATTTATTCTAATAACGTTTTACTAACGTTTAAATATTTTTCTATGCCTCTTTCAGCAGGGCTTTGGTTTCGAACCGGACATGGACATGGATATGGATATGGACATGTTTCCACGCAGTCGCTTGGGCCGCATGCATGACCCATTTAGTGGCTTTAACAATTCACGTAAGCACAACAAACTAACGAATCTCTTGCAATTTGTGCTGATTAAAATTTCACTTTACGCTTTTATATAGATTTTGGTTTTCCTCAATTCAACTCGCTCGGTCGTCGCCGTGCTGCCGATCACATGGGCCGTGACGATGACTTCTTCAATCGCCTGCCTTCGGAATTCCGTCAATATATACCAGACGGTTTTGGTCACAGACGTGACGAAAGCGCCACATTGCCACGCCGACACAGCTCTCAACAACAAGTGCCAGTACAAGGTGGAGGACCCACCTACTACCAATCATACGTACCCACTTCACCACCCAATGGTGCTGGCATACCACAGTCGCCTTCGAAGAAACTCTGCGATGCCGCCATACAAACAGAAGATCCCACTGTCCGCATGTCTGGCGATCAGGTAGACAGTGCTGCACCACAGTTGCATAGCGATAATTTACAGCAACATGGTCTACGCAATACAGTCGATATGGGTGTGAAGTCAGCTCTTGAGTCGGAACAGGGTATACGCGCTCATTCGGCGCCACCACAAGAACAACAACAGCCAGTGAATGGCAAACGCCAGACCCCGCCACCACAGGCCGGACACTCACAGTTCGGCACGCAGACTAGTCCACATGTGCAGGCTGGCGTCAATGCTGGCCAGCAACCGCAGTACCATAAGGCCTATTACCCGCCACAACAGCAACCGCACCCAGAGCAACGACAACAGACACCACCACCACCACAAACTCCGGGTGGCAGCTATGTGCGTACCATACCAATCTTTGTAGAGGGTCGTTCCGAACCGATCATTAACGCGCACAAGGAAATTCCAAATCAAAATAGCGCGCCCGGTCAGGCACAAGCTTCTGCTAGTGCATCAGCTAGAGCATTTGTGCCGCCACAACAACAGCAACAACAACACCAACCACAACCACAGCACCAACAACAGCCGCAACATCAACAACACCGTCCAACTCCACTAAATACTCAGCAGCAGCCACCTCAACAGGGTGCCGGGCTACAAGGTGCAGCCGCCGGTGGCATGCCACCACAAACTCCACACACGCTGGACTCAATCAGCAAAATCCAAGACATTCAACGTGATGTACTAGATCTCATGGGGAAAGTGGAGAAGTTCACTGGCACACGTCAAGATAAGGAGTACGTCTATCTTGACGAGATGTTGACACGCAACCTACTTAAGTTGGACACAATCGATACGAATGGAAAGGACAGCATACGTCTAGCGCGTAAGGAGGCCATCAAATGCATACAGGCATCTATCAATGTGCTAGAGGCGAAAGCGAACGAGAACACTAAGGCCGCACAACAGGCCGCAGAAGGCGGCGAACCGGCTGAACAGTCCGCGTCGAGCAATGCCACTGTACCAATGCAAACCGATGAGGCTGCGACGCGCAAGAGCGCTTCAAAAGAGAAAGTTGTAGCGGTCGCAACTGAAGCTGCAGAGACGCCTGCCGTCGAGCCGGAACCGGCTGATGCGAAACAAATTCAATCCCCCATACCGTTGCCACCGCCAGAGGGCATGCAAGTCGAACAGTCAGCAAGCGCTAGTAATGTGAAGAGTGTAGAGGCTGCCGAGGCGAGCAGCAAAGAAGCAGTGGCCAGTAGCGATGTTCCGGCTGCGGAAACCGCCGCAACCGAATTGTCATCAAAGGCTGAGGCGGAGTCGAGCAAATGATGATTGCAACAGCGCAGCTCATCAGGCGCCGTGAGCTCTTCTTCCTACTCAGCCACATTTTCAAAGCGTTTACATAGCATCACCAAACGAAAGTCCTAAAAAAACTTAGTTTCATACATCTAAATAAATGTAAAATTCGTTGTGTTAGAAATTTAACGAAAATTTAAGAAAAAAAATATATACTTATATACGTTTTTATTTTATGCCACAAATTATTTTAGAAAATGTTGAAAGGAATGCTGCGCAGTGCTTTAGAAAAAAAAAGATATTTTTCGTAAATTTAAGTGAGAAGATGTTTAACGAAAGCAAGTGTACCGCACGAGTCCTGCTTCTTCACCGATTAGCGAGGTGAGCGACTAGACAGGCACTGCGTTTTTTGGACAAAAAATAATATTAATAAATAGGAATACAAATATTTAAAATATATGTCTTTTTTTGTTTTTTCACAATATTCTGGTTATAATTTAAGGTTCAAATTAAGGTCTTAAGGTAAAAAATATACATTTTGTGGTTTGATTTCTATCATATGACAGATGATTCGATTTTTTTGTTATCGAAAATCGCTTGTTCTTATTTAATTTTCGGCGATAAAAGTGATTAAGTTTTTTCCGAAGTAAATCTAGAAATTATATATTTTTTGACGAACCAAAACACAATAATTCTAGAATAATGATTGAGTGACAAAAATCTAGAAAATAGTTTCAGAATTATAAATTTTTTCTAATCGAAAATGTAATAAAATATTTCGATCAAATATAATACAAAATGGATTTGAGAAGATTTATCACATTAGAGATATTGCAAGTCATGATAAATAAAAGTACTATAACGCTACTTTCACTATATAATGAATATTTTTAAAATCATATAGAGTTTTTAAAGCGGAAATTTTTGTGGCAAACAAAAAATATGAACAGTTAATGATCAGAAATCAATTTATAAAAACAAACCGAGATAACAATATATACATAATTAAATGTCGATTATTTAAAAAGGTAACTATTTATTTAAAAATCTTAAACAAATTAGTAAAAAAATCGAAAAAATAAATATTTTCTTAAATAAAATCACTGATCATCATAGTCGAAATCGAGTCGAAATAAAATAAAACAAAGAACCGGTGAACTTGCCAAAAGTGCCTACAATTATCAGTCTAATTATTAAACAGTTGTTAGAACTAAAGTTCGTTCGCATTAAACTTGCAGAGTCTGTCACTCTTTTACAAAGATCATTGCATTTTTCTACTTTTTCGCAGTAAGTCAGCAGCGCAGAGAGACTTACCTTATTTTTAATCGCTTTGTTCTCCTCTTCAATCGAGACTTTCGTTAAGAAATCTTACAGTTGTACAAATTAGACCGGCTGCAGCAAAGGTTCAGATACCAACATCTGTCGAATTTAAGTTTTCAAGTAATAAGATTTTAAATATCTTATATCTTTCTCAACTCCAATAATCCAAATTTGCAAATAAGCAAAAGATAATATTATATAGTCAAATATCGATTTCTCGATAGGATATTTAGAAGACTATAATTGAAATGAGGAAGTTTTTGAAAACTGTTCTCTGCTCAATTCTGATTTAATTCCTGGACTGTGAAAAGTTTTTTAGGTTTCTCTCCGTCTTATAAATCAGCCAGTAGGTTCTTTAAAAAAATTCCAGTACATTCAAAAGAATAGGTGTAGCCTTGAAAGTTCGTTAGAACTAATGAACACGTCACAAACCAGTTGGAAAACATTTCGACGTTCGCAACAGTAAGTCCATATTTTAACTGAATGCCAAAGTTTAATGCTGGTTATTTCCCATGAATAGCGAACTAAATTTTCTAAAGCGTTCCCCATTGACTGCAAATTATGGCAGGCTTCATTTTTGAAGAAATATGTACTAATGTTTCTTTCTGTCCATAGAGCACACCAAACAGTGATTGGATTATCATCATTCCCAATGCGATAATTTTTTTTTACTAAGGTACACATTCAACTTAAAGTGAACTCCACCGCTGAACAAAATTACCTTATATAAATCGGAACGTGTTGGCATGTGTTCCAAAGTAAGTCTGTTCATTATTAAATGGCAAACCAAACTGGGTAGAAATCAAGTAACAGCTGTCAGAAAGACCAACAAAAAAGCACACGTCTAAACAAAGCACCCATTAAATTCGTTCGCTGACAGGGGGAAATCTACATAACCTGGGAAGGATGTAGAAATTCAATCTTCTTTTTCAATTATTGACTTCAAAATATATCTCATTGTCAAAAGAATGTCAAACAGAAATCACACTTCATAATGAAAACATGTATTGTCTTTTGGTAACAAATTAGTTTTGAAAGTAAAAAGTAATAAGTAAATAAATTAACTTGTAGTTATCAGAAAACATTTTCTTTGTTGCTAAACATCGCAAAAAATAATTCACCGCTAAGAATACTAAACCTAATACAAAATATTATGAATATTGAAAACATCAAAACATCAAAAATTTTAGTAAAATGAAAATAATGAAATAAAAAGTTTCTTTAATAAACGCCAAACTTTAACACACGGTGCCTAAGCCAATAAATTTAAACAGAATATTGTAATAAAGCTCAACTGAATTTGATAGAATGGAAATAATTATTAAAACAATTTTTTATGAATAGGAAATTTTGAAGAAAACTTAAAGAAAGTATTGGAAAAATCAGTAAATATATATAATCAGTTCAACATATTTTATTTAAAATTCAGTATAAATGAAAAAAAAGTCGGTTTTAGGTTTTCTAAAGTAAACTTTTCTAAAAAACTTCCGGTAAAAGTTTAAAATAAGTGAAGCACCGACTTCTAAAGAAAATTAAGTTTTAATTTTTTTTGTAAATAATTAATTTATGTTGCAATTTACATGCAAAGATTTATAAATCTTTGACTTCTTAAATTTTAAAACCTTGTTACAACCCCCAGCACTTTTTCCGCCAATTTTTCTTATTTTATTTATTATTTTCAAATGATAGGTTTACTCAAAGCTCTTCTAATATTACTTTGTACAAGCAAAGCCCACTGCACACGCCGAAAATGTCATATTACCGTAGTAAATCTGCAGTTTAAGATACGAGATGAAGTTCCAGGAAGGCAAATATAAAATCCTCATATGCTGAAAGCGAAATCCTCTACTCAGAAAACAATTTCCTGTTCTCATTTTATCTGAGTTTAGTAATTCTATAAGTAATGCATTTAAATATGAACACATGTTCTTTGAAAAAAGTCCGCAGAGTTGCTAGAAGTTCACTGCTCCGAAAGTGTCTAAATATCGGATATCTGTACTGGATTACTATTCAACATTGCCACAAATGATTTTTGTTATGTTGAAGTCTCAGTAACCGAAGTGTTAAGTGAAGTTGTCTACAGTTTTGAGTATCTTATAAGACTACATTCTTGTAAAGCGTCATCATTATACATTGAACAGGGAAACTTAATATAGTTTGCCACGAAGTTTGTAGAACACAGAAGGAAGCGTCGGAGATTCTATAAAATATATATTTAGTTTAGTTTTTTTTTGTATTTTAAGCGCTCTAACTTCTTTAATATGGCTGACGGAAAATAGCTATGGGTTGAAGGGAAAGCAATAATAGAAGCTTATGAAGAGTAACTGCTTTCAATAATTAAAATATCAAAACCAGTTGGCAGAATAATAAATAGTTGGCACGCAAAGTTTTTGAGTCTGGCGAACAGTATTCTACTAAAGAGTAATTATTTGAAGTTATTAAAATTACTTGATCTTCAATTTCCTTAAATTATAATATATTGGAAAATTGCACTAATCGCTACCCAATCGAATCTTTGAGATCATTCTCAACAAAGCGGCATCGACTCTTTACTAAAATAATATACAAATGTATAAATTAGTTAATACATAAGTTTAAAAAATGAAAAATGTTTAAAAATACTGAAAATAGAGATGTGTGCTACTTTGATGACCTAATTTAAATTATTAATGTTTGTGTTGATTTCGGAAAAAAATTATTAAAAAATATAGAAAAAAGTTAAAACAATAATTGCTGTTTTATTTAGTAGATAATTGATGCGTTAATAATCGCTAAAATTGTAGCTTCTTTAGTTTTGATAAAAATTGCTTTGAGGAGCAGCCCTAATTTATTCAAGCGCTCACATTACATACTCCAGATATAAGTGGCAATCGAGGCATTGAAAAACAAAAACAAATTAAATCGGTAGTAGTGAGTTGATAAGTTTCTTTTATGAATATTTTTTGGATGAACGTTGACATGAACTATGCCTTAGCCTTTAGCAGTTAACAGAACTAACAGACTAACTTTTTCATGTAACTCTATTCCCGATTATACATACAAGTATACATATATATACATATACATAATATACATGTTACCGCCTCTTTGAGGATATTTTAAAGCTTACCAAAAAAAAAAAATATAAATATTGAAAACGAATGTCTTAATCCTTTCAATGCTATTAATTATTTTATTTTTTTTGTAAATGTATAAACTTTTTGAAAAAAAGTTGAATTTCATAACTTAAATACGTACTTGATATGAACGACCTTTATTTTAAACCGAGCACCGAGAATATATTATAAATTATAACAAAAATAAAGATAATTAAGATAGTTATATAAAAATTTAAAAAGTTTGTTTTATTAAAGCTGTTGAAATTTAAAGTAAACATGCTTTTAGTAGATGATGCCGTTTCCCGATTGTCGAAGCTGACTATTTCTTTGAAGGGATTAGAAATTTTAGTCCCCTTTCGTAACACCAATTAGTATTGGATATCGTTAGTTTTCTAAATTAGCTTTCAATAATGGTTCGATAGAATAGGCTATAATGTTTTGGTAACAATTTGTCTTGAGTTTTTTGTAACGACGTGCTGGATTTCGGTTGTGGTAGCATAACATATTCTAAAAACAGTTTGAGAATGTTACCTTGATGACCCAACGATCTAAGGAATACAGTGATATCAATCGAATCAGCCGATTTTATTTCCCCTTTAAATAAACCTGAGGAGTACTTACATACATACATGGTAGGTGGGTAGATAGGTAGGTAGGTACAGTGACAATCTGACGTCGCAGCTGTGCTTCATCAGCATAAATAGTTTTATCCGTGCAAACTCCGAGATGTCGTCAAGAAACCCTCTACCGATAGTTGCGATTCTTTTCCTGTATAGAGCCTTACATTTGTATAGAAGATGTTTTACAGTCTCCTCTTGTTCTACCTCCTGACACCTTCTACAACAGTAATTGTAAGGTACATCTAGCGTTCTAGCATGCCTACCAATTCTACAGTGACCTGTTAGTACTTCTATCAGACTTCTTATGTTATTCCTTTTGAATTTTAATAGTCGGTTTGAGCGTCTCATTTTCCATTCCTGCCACCTTTGCCTGCTAGTTGAGCACCGAGACTCAGTTAGTTTTAAATAATAATAACCCAACGATTACCCTCCTCCCGCCCAACCGACGCGAGGGGCGCAATCCGCATACGTGCGGAATTAGCCGAGTCAGAAAAGGCAAGAGAGTTTTTAAGTGTTGAGATCTAAAACTGCTCAGCTACAGAAACAAAAATTTCAACAGCTAAGATCTAAAGTTACAATATAATAAATTGTTACATTTTCATTTATTAAGAGAAAACAATAAAGTCTTTTTAATTTTGAAAAGTGAGTCAGATAAGTCAAGTGTGCTGGAATGAGAATTAAAATCATGACATATACGGCGAAATGGCTCGTTTAGTTCAAAATTTGATCTACAGGATTTTAGCAGTGAAGGTCTAAACTGCCTCGAAAGGCGAACCGGGATATTAAATTTAATTTCAGACAGGAGAAAAGAACTGCAAACAGTTCCATTCAAAAGTTTCACTAAGAATGTTATGCCAAGCATTTCCCTACGACTAGAAAGTGTAGGTAGATTAATAAGTTTTAAACGACTAGTGTATGGAGGTAGACTTACCCTAGCATCCCATCGGAAATGCGCTAAGGTGAAAAGTAAAAATTGTTTTTGAACCGACTCTAACTTGTCAGAATGGATTTGGTAGCTAGGGTTCCATACCACAGAGCCATATTCCAATATAGGTCTAACCAAAGTTATATAAAGTGTTTTAGTAATATACGGATCTGTAAATTCTTTAGACCAACGTTTAACAAAACTGAGGACAGCTTTTGCTTTCAAGACCATGGTATCAATATGAAGACTGAAATTAAGCTTAGGGTCCATATTAACTCCCAAATCAACATAGTTTAAAACTTGCTCTAGAATATGGTGTTTTATTACATAAGAAGAGGGGTGCACAGATCTACGGGAAAAGCACATCGTCTTACATTTATTGAGATTCAATAGCAAATCATTTCTATCACACCATGCTACCAAATTGTTTAAGTCTGTTTGCAACAGACACCTTTCCTCAGTTGAAGTGTATGATTTAAAAAGCTTTACATCGTCAGCGTATAATAAAATCTTTGAGAATTCTATTACTGAAGAGATATCGTTAATAAACAACAAGAACAGAATCGTTCCAAGATGACTACCTTGCGGAACACCAGAAGAAACATTAATTGTATCTGAAGGTGTATCCTCAAATATCACTCGTTGTGTTCTATTATAAAGATAGGAAGATACCCATTGAAGGAATCTTGGCTGAAAGCCCAGCAGATCAAGTTTATGTATGAGAATCGAGATATTTACTTTATCGAAAGCTTTGCTAAAGTCTGTGTATATAACATCCGTATGCTTATGTTCCCTAAAACCCAATGATACATGGTTTACAAATTCAAGTAAGTTTGTTATAGTCGAGTTCCCTTTACGAAATCCATGCTGAGATGAGGAAATCGAAAAGGTTATATGGTCAGTGATGATAGCTTCAAAAAGTTTAGGTATAACTGATAGTTTTCAATGTTGGATCTAAATCCGCTTTTATGCAAAGGGATTATAAATGACTGTTTCCATATTGAAGGAAATATACCGTGTTTAAGAGAGGAATTAAATATCCTTGTCAAAGACAAGTAAATATATTTGGCACTATTTTATAGGAAGCATGAGGGTATCATGTCTGGGCCATAACTAAAAGATGGTTTTAACTTATTTAAATTAAAAAGGACGTCTTCTTCAGAAATAATTGGAGCGTTAATTAAAGTATTCGAACACAGCACTTGCTGATAAGAAAAAGTTTTGGAAGAATTATTACAGTAGTTTGACTTGAAAAATTCTGCAAACATATTGCATATAATATCATTGTCACTTGAAATGATAGATTTGTATTTCATTGCGGACGGAAATTTGGAAATCCTGCGTTTGGAGTTGACGAAATCATAAAACGATTTTGGATTACTTACAATATTTTTTTTTACTTTATTTAAGTAATTATTATAACATTTTTTGTTTAGGTCAAAATATTGTCGACGCAATAGAGAATATTTAGAATAGTCGACAAGTGAACCGGTTTTTTTAAAATGTTTAAAGACTCGAGTTTTTCTGTTTTTCAATTTATATAACTCTTTCGAAAACCACGGACTTATACTTTTGCTTTTATTAACAATTACTATTGGAACATACTTTTCAAATAATTTCATAATAATGTTATTAAAATGAGAGACACTCAATTCAATGTCATTATTATAATTAGGCCATGTTATTGTAGAAAGTTCTGTATTTAATTTTTTTAAATTAGCTTTTGCAAAGTTAAACCGAGTACAGAAGCACGAAGTTTGATGATTATTATCCCGTACAATGCCTAAGATTTCGACAGATATTTCCAAAGCAGGATGATATGAGTCCTCTGGTAGAACAAGAGGATTACTCTGAATAACGGAACACTTTGCAGAGGTATCAACGTATACTAAATCTAAGCATTTACCAAATTTATTCGGAATCAAATTAATTTGGTTCAGACCCAACTCGGACATTTTTTCGAAAAACTCATTAAAACATGACCGATTGCAAATCGGCACGATATAATCATCGAAAGGTTTCCACGAAGCACACGGTAAATTGAAATCACCTAATACAATTGTTGAATCTGCATTATTTGCCATCGAGGTAGCACTATTTATTAAAGAAGCATGCTGCATGTATACAGATAAGTCCGAATGGGGTGGTATATAAGATAGGGTTAAATAAATAAAGCAACTATTAACGTATACTCTAATACATTTAAATTCAAATGAGTCGGTCCCTGGAACAAGAATATCGACTGTTCAGTCGATCACATCTAAAAATTTGAAATTCGCTGTTTAAAATCTCATTATCAAAAATGTGAGGTTTTAACCAAGTTTCTATAAATCCAATTATATGGAAATTAAAATTGGAACTGTTCAAATACAAGTCAGTTAATTTTGTATTAAGACCTCTAACATTTTGATAATAAATGCTTAGCGAATTTCTACCAATCAGTTTTTTATATCGGTGGTTGCTTTTGGTAATTTAACAATGTTTTCCTCAGTTTGACTTCTAAGTTTAGGTTTAAATTCGCGTACAAAAGTCCCAGGTGGCCAGAATGTACCATCTAAGATCTTTTTAAATGTATCACTAGATACGTCTATTTTAAACGATGATATACTTCTATCATAATTGAAGTTAAATTTACGTATATTGATATCATCGATTTTTAAACGTGACGAAATGTAAGATTTAATGTCCTCCACCAAGGTATCTTTGGCAAGTCTCGAAATAAATATAGACTTTTTAGGTGGAATAACTATCAAATTATTAACTGATGCTACTAAGTTAATAGGGGGAGCCTCTGGAATTGTGAGACGCTTATTACTATTAGATAGAGCTTTTGGGGAATTGAGCTCTTTGGAAGTTGACGGCTTATCACCTTGAGGGCAAGGAGAAGAGAGATTTATTAGGTCGTTGGGAGGATACGTTCTTTTCTGAACAGAAGAACTAAGTGTTACTTCATCGGAAGGACGTTTACGCTTAGGAGCAGGTTTAGAGGATTCGTGAGAATCATTCAGGCACTTAAAAGATTTGAACAATTTTTCATAGTGCCTAAATTTTTCAGTGAGGGTTACAAGATCACGACCGATTTCGTTAAAGCCATTGCGTGTCTCCCTATAAACTTTAAATAGATCGATTTCAATAGATCTACAATTTAAACAGGACCAACGCAATCCCTTACAGTCGAGAATAGAATCTAAGATTCTACCAGTCAGTCCAGCACATTTAATATCGACAAGCCCATCACAAAGCCAGTATGATCAGTTGTGGTCTGGCTTCTAAAGATATCCAATACTGTGCCCTGATTGTGCCATTATTTTCCTAAGTCGAGACGCTTCTGCCGTATTCTCGATATCATTACAAAAAGATTTCTAAGAATTTCTTTTTGCTCTCCTAACGTCCTTCTTGTATGACTTTAGAAGCTATTGTAATAATTATCCCAATCTAACTCGCCTTGGGTTAGCGTAGCTAAAATTGACTGCTTTCTGCAGTCTCTCTATCATTTTTTAAATTCGGGAGACCACCATGGAGGCCTAGTTCCACCCCTACTTCATGTTATTATACAAGCCACCTCTAATGCTTGCCGGTATGGCTCCGTAAATCGTTTAACAAAGATGTCGAGGTCCTCCTTGCTTTTGGGCTGAAACGGCGGAATCATAGGGATACGTTTTTCCAGCTCTTGCATGTGCACCAGCCAGTTCGTTTTCCTATGATTCCTAAAGTTATTGCCTCTATCTGCCCTTTCCTCAATAATACATTCAATATATCGGTGATCCGAAAAAGAGTGTTCTTCGAAAACTCTCCATTGGGTTACCCTGTAAAGCAGTTCTTCCGACACAAGTGTGATATCTAGCACTTCTTGTCGGTTTCTTGTGATGAACGTTAGCATACTACCTTTATTACATAACAGAAGCTTAGTGCCTAGTAAGTAATTAAAGAGACACCAACCTCATACCTACATACATACATACACATCTCTTAATTAATTTTATGCATTAGCTTTACCGTGGCAGTCCCCGAGTGCCACACGTATTTTTTTTCATGACCATCTCGAGCCTAAAATCTAAGGTTTTTATACGTGCCATAAGTCAGATCACGCTATTATAAAATAAAGGAGGCTCATGGTAACTCGAGAATTAAATTAAACACAGGGAGCCAATAAATCAAAAATAAATTGGGAGCAAGGCTTGGAAAAGTTTAAAGAAACCGAAAGTTCAAAGAAAATACTTCTATTATATTCTATTATCTTTTTATTCGAGTTTATGTTTTCAATGTACCTAAACAAAACCATTTTATAGTACAATACATATCATGTTCAGAAATTTTCTGATTTTACCTAGCTACGACCAATAACTGATGATTACGTTCTTATTCTACATACACATCTATACGATTCAGGTCCAAACATTCAATAATCTCTTTTCAAGTATTATTATTATCACGGTCTCCCGGGGGTTGTGTACCGAAGAATTTTTCGTACTCTTCTTGTCTCTTGCGAGCGCGTGCTTCGCGCTCAGTCTGGCGCTTCTTGGAAAACCGTTGATGTATGCGTTTCATCTCCTGCACTTCTTTCATCTCTTCCTTGTCTTCATCCTAAAACATACATTTGAAATAAACTATTCCCACAATAAGATTCGTTACACTTACGCTCATATTCAGCCGAAGCACCAAAGCACGCCGTCCATCCGACATCGGTTGACTGTAATGCATGAAATTCTTGAGACGTTCCGCTGGCGGTACACTACGCTCCACTACCAGAACAATACGCGCCCACTGACGTTGCCATTCGTTTCGTATCTCGGCGATCTTTTGATAGGTGTTACCCATCATGGCGATCAACATGTTCACCAACAAAACGCTGACAATCACCATGAAGAGAAAGAAAAGTGTCTTTGCTTCATATTCGTGCTGTGTGGAACCCATGCCGCCGAAGTAGTCACCAAAATTGGTGAGCGACATCAAAAACATAGCCACTATGGACTCCATGGGGGAAGGCATCGGATTTGTTTCAGAATCGTCAATTTCCTCTGGTGTTGCGGGGTTGTCGAATGTGAGAAATATGATATAGTAAGCCTGTGAAAAACCCATCACGAAGACGAGATAAATCGAAACAAAACGTATAAGGTCACCCATGACCATGCGATAGATCATCACAACGAATGGACCGACGGTTTTGAAACCACTGAAAAGTCGGTATTTAATCACATAGCCTTAGAGTTATTACTTTGTTTTGAGAATTTACCGACAGAAGAATAGAAAGTAAGGCGCTGTAGTGAGCATAATAAAGACAGCCACATGATCATCAATCTCGGTCATGCAGGACAACCTCAGCCCGGGTATAGTCATCATAAGCGCACAGGAGAACAGAAACATAACCCTTGAAGGAGCCGTCATCTGTTGATGAATAAGAAATATAGAAAGGATGCAATCAAAATAAAAAAAATGGGTGGGTACCATATTCTCGACAAACATCTTGTAGCCTAAGAAGCGCGCTTCTCTCAAGGCTGACAATAAGTATAAAATGGAACCAAAGAAAATTATGATTTCAGCCACAATGCGTACCTAAAAGAGAGCCAAGTTCTTGTTAATCACACAGGACCTAGAAATGTTTTATGATAAGCAACCTTCGCCAAATCTGATTCCATGTTCATTAGCGGACATTCGGCATAGCTCGCCCACCAAGATGGCACCATCTCCACATCGTTATCATCAAAATAGTCGGTAAAATTCAACCAAAAAGTTTCTGTGAAATATTAGAAAAAGACTTTTTAAGTTAGCTGAGCATCCGGTGAACAGTTTAAACTTAACTCACTGTATTCCATCTTGGTGATTGCACGCTTGATCAAACGTGGTAACCACTCATCGCCTCTATGAAATGCAGCAGAACCATTTATGGCTTGTGGACTTGATGTTACTACACCGCCGTTGTCAAACTCTTCGTCATCATCGTCGTCTTTTTTGTCAGATGGCCCAGGGCGTGAGATAAAACTTATTAACGAGAAGAGGAAGTAGAATGAAAACATATAAAACTGTTTGTAGAAACGCGACTTGACAAAGGACTCCCATTTGGTCTTCAACAAATCGATAACTACACCGTCCAGCAGCTCCAAGTGCTCCAATTTATCCTGCATGAATTAAAGTGTAAATTAAGTCGAGTTTTTAATCGGTTTCCAAAAACTACTTACACCAAAAACTACGAAATTCAATACAGAATCTTTATTAATGTTCCCCGTTTCCACATCGATCGTGTCGATCATCGACAGTGGATACGCCGCACATGTAATGCTACCCAGCTGCCAATAGATCTCACGTTCGATACTTAATATATGGAAAAACATCTCAACACGTCCTAGTTTTGCGGCCAACGTAAGCGCTGTTAGATTCTGCATGTTACGTAAGTGTATATTGGTGCCCACCTCGTAGGCCACATCGAACATTTCGATCTTTTCATAGATCACCAACATATGCAGTGAAGTATTGCCGTTGGTGTCCTGTAGATTAGGATCAGCGCCACGTGCCAATACCAGACGAAAACAGTCTTCTTGCGATAGACAAGCAGCAAAGCTCATCGGATACTCGCCCCAATAGACATAGCCATCGTAATTGGTCATCGGTTGTACGCCGACATATTCATGATCGGGTGAGTCGTAACGCGATGGTTTCTGATCCTCGGCGGACATGAAGGCGCCACAGCATCTAAGAAGAATATACATTGATATGTATTAGTTAATAATTCTTATTATCGCTTACCGTTCTTGCACATCGGCGCCAGCGTCCAGCAGATATTTGACCATCGCCGGGTCCTCATTAACGATCGCAATATGCAACACGCTCTCACCATAATATTCATCACACATATAGACATCGAGTATGAGTTTGGGGTACCATTTAAGTAAACGTTTGGCGAGATCTGCATGCAATGATGAGGCGTTCAGCAGACAGAGATGTAAAACAGTTTCGCCGACAGCGCCACGTTCCTGCAATACAAGTAACTTTATTTGCGCAAGAGAGGCTTCAGAAAATACCACTACTCACATTCAAATTCCAGCATACAAAGCGATAAGCGCTCGGATTCGATATATATTCGGCTTCAGAAACCTCCGTACAGTAATCATGTATATTAAAGTCATCATCTGGATTCTCCAGCGCTCTGATCTCAGGTAGTTGTTTGGTGCGCGCGCGTTCCTTATTACGTAAGAGCACCAGTTTTGAGATTGGAAAGTAGCGGCCAGCACCTTTATTATAGAGAAACGGCTCGACTTTTGTCTTGATTGCATGGTCAATTTCCGCGAATTGTTTTGTCTGGCAAGCGCGCTTCATCATATCCACCAAGAGACCGCCACCCTTGAGATTGACGAACTTGTAGAGTGCTTGTGTGGAGACGCCAGCTTGCTTCTTGACGCCACTTGTTACATTGCTCTCCGTATTTCCCATGGTGTTGGAAAAAGTTCAGAATGAACATTCAAGAGAACAATATGTCACAGATATATAATAGGTGCGATAATTATGGGAGTGATGCCATTTATAAGCTATACGTCTTATACACGCTACGAGGTCGCTTTTATGAGAAAATTTCAGGCTTTAATTAAGAGCCTTGTCTTAAACCAGCCGTGTACTCGAAAGAATTTCGCGTTCTACTACTAAGTTTCAGAACTTTCAGTGATTCGAGGCAGAGAGTACTTCTTAAACTTCGCAGAGCTTTTAAGCTGCTATAATAGCTCCAGTTGACTTCACAGTTAGTTTTACATAATTTAGATTTTAAAATATAATTGGAACTGTTTTTCAAAAGCCAAAACTTTCAAAATATACAACTTCTCTGAACACTTGTGCTTTTCTTAATCTCACTGAAAAATTCCATTGATTTAACAGCTAGTCGACCATTGGTTGGTTGCTAAGCAAACGGCTTATATTTTATCAAAGGCTCGAAGGAGTTGTTAAGTTTCACTTTTAGCCTTTAACGTCCTCTTTTACAAACGTGGCAAAAGTGGCGCGCAAAATACCTTCAAACAGCGAAAGGTAAACAAAAGGACGAGCGACCGTCAAAGGCGCATTTGCCTATTACGCTCCCTAACAAAAATGATATGCCTCACCTTCCTTCAATCACGTGAGGCTATTTATTACATCGAAAGGGTTGCCTCAGTATATACGAGTGTTCACTCTAAATATTGATATTTTCCGCTTTACTCTAGCTTTAACAAATGTAATATGTTGTTTATAAACAAGTTGGTCGATGTCATGCGCGTGTCACCGGCAAATATTTACAGGTGAATGCACTTCAACGACCCGCATGTCCGTCAATGAATGAGTTATGCAAACTGTTGTCCTTGACACTACTTCTGTGACTTGTCAATAAAACCGATTTAAATGTAATTTGCACGCAAGACGTTCTGCGAATATAAACAAAATACTCTGTTCTAATTAAAGTTCAATGAACCAGGTAAAGGACACCCAGTAGAATACTGTGCAAGAGCGCGTACCAACATTTGACATAAATATTATTGTTTGCTAAAAATGGTTATCTGTGAGATATTGGCTCTGCCAAATCAACGAGAAAGCGGACGATCTCGACGAAACCTTTTAAAGGCCTAGCTTTTTTGTCATATGACGTTCTTTCTCCGATTTTGAACTTGTGTGTGACATAAATATATCCCGTAGATGTTTAAATGCAGATGTTGAGCATAAATGTTTGGAGTTCTCTTCTCAGAAGTCTCAAGAGATCTCCACCACCTTTAGGTTCGAAAAGGTTCCAAAAAGATATTACTTAGCTTTGATCATATATTATTTGAGAAAACTAAACATTTCATATCACATTCACATATCTGGTGCAAGCTGACCAAAATTTTGAAACTAATTTTCATAAATTAGCGTCAAATTGTACGGAGACCAATAAAGGAGTCTTAGAAGAAACGGGTTATTGCAGTTTCTCTAAAAAATACTCAAATGCTGAACATATGTAACTCCAACTAACTTTAAACAGAAAGCTTTACTCGAAAATCGAATCCGTACTTAATCATATAAGTTCATATTGCTATTGCCGAATCTATATATAGGAGTTTAAGACATTATATGTGCCAAATGAAAGGACTTAATAAAAGACTTTTACAGAACGCTTGAAATTTTGTTGCAATCGCAACAATAGTTTTGCTTTTACCAGGCCACCCTAATAACCGGATTCTTAGAGTAACACGAGACCCGTGAGCCACCTATATAGCATTCAGAAGGAATGTCAATGCTATATTCGTTTGAATCGAGATTCCATTAGCACGATTAACTGTTGTTGCATTAAACTAACCGAGTCAAATAAAGATTATGAAATTTCACGAAACTTCAAACTGCCAAGAAATAAATGGATCAACGTGAACATAACTGTAAACTGATCCAAGGGACTTATTCCTATGTCTGCAGGTAGCTCGTGTGATGGTGCCGAAGCTTACATTTTTTGGTTTTTTTGTTTCTTAAATAAAATACCCACGCTTAAGGATCTGGACATCTCTGAGCCTATCCTGCTCTTGGGCAGGTCAATTATTTCAACGCTGGGAGCTTTAACGATGTGCAGATCTGTCCTGTCTGCAGAAGGGGTACACCCTAAGGAAGCGTGTTATCCCCGCTTCTCTGGATCCTGACAATGAATAAAATGTTTGTGCATCTGGAAAAGAAGGGGGTACATGTTGTGGCCTACGCTGATGATGTGGCAGTTTCGGTTAGGGCCAAGTTCCCGAATACCCTCGCTAAGCCTTATGCAGACAATACCCAACGATATTAGACGATGGGCCGATCATGCGGACTGAATTTAAATGCTAGCAAGACGGAACTAGTATTGTTCACTAAGAAACACAGTACTCCAGAAATCACGCAGCCATCTTTAAATGGCACCAGTCTTACGGTAGGAGAAAAAGCAAGCTACTTGAGACTAATTTTGGACTGGAAGCTTTCTTGGAAACAAAACTTGAAAGCTAAGGTAAAGAAAGAAGCTACAGCGCTTTACATGTGTAAAAGAATGGTGGGGCCCAGATGGGGACTGACGCCTCGGGTAGCTCACTTGCTCTACACAGCACTTATAAGGCCGATCATGATTTACTGTATATTGGTATGGTGGCCAATTACAGAAGAGAAATATGCAATTAGAAGCATGGAAAGTATACAAAGAGCAGCCTGTATTTGCATTAGTGGAGCTCTCAGAACAACACCAAGCCAGGCACTAAACGAAATTTTACACTTATTGCCAACAGATCTCTTTTGCAAGCAAATGGCAGCGAAGTCAGCTCTCAGACTGAGGGAATCCTCCCTACTAGTCGCCAGTAACAAGGGGATTATATGATACTTAGAATGTTCTCGTTCATTTCAATCTAAATCCGGTCCCCAATATTGCCTTCCCCTCCAGAGAGGAGTGGGAAAGCGGTGTAGTGGACAAGGAAGCAGGGATAAGCTTCTATACGGATGGTTCCAAACTGGAGAACCGAGTAGATGGACCACTGCAGTGTCTTCCAAGCGGAGGTCACAGCAAATAAAGAAAGCCTTTTTGTACTGACAAGAAGTGTGATCATAACAAGAAATATATTTATATTGTATATGTATACAGACAGCCAGGCTGCTTTGAAATCTCTGATGTCTCATAGGACTTCGTCGAAGACAGTGAAATAATGCCATGATCTTCTAGCGGATCAGACATCCTATTTCACGTTAAACCTGCAATGGGTCCCAGGACACAGTGATATCCCTATATATATATATATATATATGCCTCTGGCTACTTGCAGATACTTAATCTACAAACATGTCATTAACATAGCCGAGTCTCAGTGGAATCAGTTCCTGACTTGCTCAACTAGCAGGCAAACGTGGCATGAATGAAATATGAGCCGCGCATGCCGACTGTTAAAATTTAAACGGAATGATATAAGAACTCTAGTAGGAGTACTGTCTAATAGGCAGACATGCAAGTTGACTTGGTACGCCATATAACGGCTATTGTAGAAGCTGTCAGGAGGTAGAAGAGGAGGAGACCATTAAATTAAAAAGAATCACAGCCATCGGTCGAGGGTTTCTTGACGACATCTCGAAGTTTGCACGGATAAAATTTGTCTCTCTGATGAAGTTCATCAGAAGTACGGAGTGAGGGGACCTTAGTCCGGTGGTATCACAATGGGCCTCCAAAAGGCCTAGCTGTGTCGAAAGACAACCACTCTACCTACCTACCTACCTACCAAAATAAAACACCACAACTTCATATTTTCGAAACATGCATGTATACATTTTTATTTTCATTGAATTCTTATTATTGTTTCACAATAAATATTGTTAGTAATCGTAGTACATAATTTTCATATTTCATCCCCTTATATTCGGTTAAATACTAAATTTGCTGAATACAAAAGGGTTTTTAAATAAAAGTACAAATTTTTTAAATTAAATTTCATCTGCAAATGTTCACCTCGTTTATCAGTTATTGTAAGTATAAAAAAAATCTCTAAAATTTTATTACATCAAAAATTAAGTATTGAAATAAGTTTTACCACATAAGTAATACTAATAAAGGTTTGCATGTGTATATGTTTGTATATAAAATGGACAAATTATGAAGAACGCCGCACCTTTTAAAGGTTTCAAGCTTAAATATTAGTGATGCGCAGTATTTTCTATGCAAATAATTGGTTTTTTAGTGTTTAATAAATATAATTGTATAATGCCGTTGCACTAAGTTGTAAATATAATATTTTCTTAGTTAAAAAACTGGTTAGACTTTTTTGATAATTTGCATGTCAGGACGCAATAAGGACGCATTGTTGTTTTACAACAAAAAAAATAATAGAAATTAAGCAAAGTTTTTAAACTAGGATATGCATGTAAGTGTGTGTGTGTGTGAGCGCATAAATGGCGCTTGATTTCTTTACAAAATTAAACTTTAGAAAAAATAAAATAAGAAACAATAATATTAATAGTTAAAAAAATATAATAAAAAAATAATAATAATAAAATAAATACAAAAAAAAATAAAATAATATAATAAAAATAAAAAAATATATAATAATAAGAATAAAATAATATGGTAATAAAAATAAAAAAATATAATAATAAAAATAAAATAATAGAAGTAAAAAAATAATAATAAGAATAAAAATCATAATTTAACTTTTTAAGAAATCAAATGAACATTTAATTATAAAAAATGTAACTATTAAAAAAATACAACTAAGAAATTGGTTTTCATTAAAAAAATTAAATAAATTTTTATTTAAGATAAATAAATTTTCGTCTAATAATTTTGTTTAATTAAAAACAACTTTTTAATTAAAATTTATTTATGAATTACATTTTTTCGATAGTTACGTTTCTTTTCTAAAAAATCAAATAATTTAATAAAACATAATTTGTATTTAAGATTTTTTTGGTTTCTTGAATTTTAACTAAGAAGTTTTTTTAATTAAAAATCATTTATAATTAAATTTGACTTTACGGATTTTTTGTTTCTGCAATTTTAATTAAAATTTTTATATAATTTTTTTTTGATATTTAATAATTTTATTTTCTTAATTAAAATTAAAATTAAGAAATTTTTTTAAAGTAATATGGGCAAAAATTAAAAGTATTAAAAACATTTTTTAAATAAACTCACGCTAATACAACAATTAAAATCAATAATAAAACAATAAATTAGAAAATTACTAAGAAAGCAGAAAATCTACAACACCAACAAAATGTGTCTATCTTCCTAGTTTAATACAACACAACACAAATGTTTTTTATATTTTTTGTTTTTTTCGTTACTCGCTTGTTAACATTTACAAAATCTTTAAATATGCGCTGTAACATAGTGTATTTTACATAAAATTTAAATATTATAATCTCGTTTACTGAACGCAATCGTTTACAATGTCTGTCTTTATGTGTGTATGTGGTTTTTATACAGCTTGGCACTAATAGTATTGTTTTTTAATTTTTTTTTTCAAATAATTGTCTTAATGATTTTTTTTTCAAATAATTATTTTTAAATAATTGTTTTTATTTTTTAAATAATTTCGTACACAGTTCGAAAAACTTATATATATAACATTTTAATACTTGGTTTTAATAGTTTTTTTGAATTTTTTTCTAGGCTTATAATTTTAATTTTCATTAATTTTATTTATTTTTTTTTAATGTAGTATAGAAAAATTGTTTAAAAATGCATCAAAAATTTTATATATATGGGTGTGTATGTGTGAGTGCGTAAAATTTGCTTATGTTTGAAAAATTTCGTACTAATGCAAGTATTTATTTAATTTTATTCGGAAAAACTTGCGTGTTTGCAGTGCAGCGCAACCGTTGGTCTCTTCTTCAATTCAATTACTGTGATTTTTTGTTGTTTTCACTTTTGTTTGCAGTCAATAGTTGGCGCTCATCAATATATATCATATATATGTATATATAATTGTATGTATGTTGCTATAAAAATGCATAAGAATTCAATTGCTTCAGTAGTATTAGGAGTTTCTAAACCGCTTCAGTTGAAATTTCAATAATTGTGCTGTGCTGAATGTTGTTGTTGCATTTAGGGCGCGGCAATGATGATTATAGTTGCTGAATTGTTATTAAATGTTTCAATTTTTTGTGAACTTTATTGTTTTTTTTTAATTAGTTAATTTTTTTTAATCCGTTTGTTGCATTTGTTGTAATAGGCTTTTGTAAAAGTATAAGAAAAACTGTAAATTTTTTGCTCATCAATTGTATGTTTTGTGTTTCTACGCAATTATTGTTTGTTTGTATATAATTAATTCCCTTTTTTCTTTAGTTAATAATTTCGACATAATTTGCCGGAAACAGTCCATAAGTTCCATCGGGTCCGAGCCCTTGCCACCAGCCTTCATCGATTTGATCGATATGCGTGATAATGTCGCCCGGATCGAAAGTAATTTCGGATTCGTCGGCTGTGGATGTAGAAAAAACAAAGTAAATTAATATCTAGGAAATAAATTAACGAAGAATTACATCCATCTTGGTGGTTCCATCTATTGAGTTGGCTCATGATACTTGGAAGTACTAAGAAAAATCTCAAGGTAGGCCAAATCTTATTCATAATGGCCTCGAAATCCTAAAGAAAGAATCCCATAAACATGGAAAGCTTTCAAGACCATATTTGCTGTTCAAGAAATTGGAGTAAGAAAGGCCTTTTAAAGTATTTTATCAAATCTTACGATGAAATGCATAAACTAAAAAAACTAAGGTAGGACGGAAACCGAGATGTTTCGACGGGGTTAGTTGCTTAAAAAAGTGGCTAGTGTCAATTCCCACAACAACCGATTCTGCGGTACCGATCTAACACTGTTAGGATCGGTGAGTGGTAAAAAGTAGTAAGACAAGATATATGTGGAGTACGTATAGATCAAGTCTGGATAAGTATGAGTATTGAGTCTTCTTCAATTTCCGGCACGTAATTAAACAAGGGTCGCTCAGATTTCGCAAAGCAATTTAAGCTCCTCTGCAATAAGTGTTAGCTTAGCGTTCTATCCGGCCAAGAGTTTTTTTCGGTGATCTAACCCTGTTGGAATCGGTAAGTTGTAAATTAATTTTCCCGTATATTCTCGGAAAATTCATGAACCCCATCACCAACCCTAAAATAAGTAAGAAATTCTTGTCGACTTATGGCACAACATGGAACTGTGTTTAAAAGTTTCAATTGTATTGAAAGTGGTTTTTCTCTACCAATCCGGGAAAGGAGAGATATGGGGTGGTGTTTATTGTAATTTTCAGATTTCAGTAATGGAAAGGGTACTCTTCTGATTTGCAAGATTTTGACGTTTAAAAAAGTAGATATCGGATTCGCGCTTCCAGTAATATATGCTTAATCCCTAAAAGACATACCGATCCAAACAGATTTAGATCGCCGAAATAAAATCCCTTGGCAGTATAAAATCGTGGTCAATTCCTGTAACGTAGAAGCGGCTGTTGTGGGAAATGATGCTTAATCCCTCGAGATCAGGGTTGCCAATAATGCATTAAAAAAATAATTGAATTAACATCTGAATTAAAAAAATTTTTTTTTGTAATCCCAAATACGGGTTTAAAAAAATTTTAATCCAAAAAATCAGGATTGTAATTTATTTTTGTTTTAATCCCCACTATTTTTAATTTAAATTTTTTCACATTCACTCAAATCAAAAAAATAATATTCTCAATTTTTAGTCCCAAACATATTTGATTAAAAAATAATTTTATCTAATTTTTAATGCCAACATCGGGATTTTTGAATTAAAACATTCGCAACTTGCTCAGGATAAATGAAAACTGAAGCCTTTGTCTTACCGACGACAACTTAAATATAGAGATTATTTACACACCTGCTTGATAATCGTATAAAGCTCTTGCTTTCAGCCCAACATCGCCCAGAGACTCCTGACAAATGAAGTCATCTTCGTTAACCAAGTCAGTCACTGCAAGCAAGGGAGTACATGTATTCAAATTAAGGCAAAAGCAATTAACTTAAATGCTAAGCGCTTACAATCGTTTCTGTCCAAAGCGCTGCTTAGACCATTCTTCACCGACTGCGGTTGTTGCACCGTCACCGACACCTTTGTGCGCACCACCTCCTCCTCCAGCTCCTCACCCTCGTCATCTTGATCCTGATAGACAGCCGTATCAGTCGCATTTGACGACGAAGTCTCTGGCGATTGCAGTGAATTCGATTTGCTGTGCGGCGAACGTTTTATGGTGGAATATTGTTCCTCATTTTCGGCAGCATAATCGTCAGCTGCCGAGGGCACATCATCATTATTGGCAATTGCGGTAATTTCTGGTTTGACAGGTTGCTCCTCCTCTAGTGCATTTGTGGCTAATGCAGGTGCCACTGCGGCGGCTACAACGCCGGCGGCAACAGGTGCGATCGCCACCTGTGTTGGCGTTAATGTGGATGTGTGCACGGTGACTGTGGCCGGTGAAGGCGAACGTTGTGTGCTGGTGTGCACAGCATGTTGGTGTTGTTGTTTTTGTTGTTGTTGTGGTTCATGTTGCTGCTGTGACTGTTGTTGTTGTGTGTTATTAACGGCGCCAACATCTTCGAATTTCGACAGCGCAACTTTACCAGGTGTAGGTGAGGGCTTGCGCGGCTCCGGTTCAGCGGCCTGTGGCTGATTGAAGGCGTTAATACGTTGCGCGATGGATGTACGCGCAGGTTTGGCAGGTGGTGCGGTATTTAATCTGCGAAAGCAAAAAACATACAATAAATAAATATAAACTTTCTTTAAGTTTTGTGAGTGAGCTTACTTGGTTTGCAACTGGCCTTGACTGGTGTTTTGTGTAAAAATCGCTTTGGCCGCAATGACACGCGAACCGATGAGTTCACGCGCCTCCTGATTGCGCTGTTGGCGCATGCGTTCTGCTTCAGTTATGCCGACGTTGAAATTACCGGAAACAGTCTTTTCGGGACTAAGTGGTTGTGGCGAACTGGAATGCATATAAAAAAAAAATCAATTATAACTTCAAAAAAGAATATAAATATTATACAATATATTGGTTGTGACCTACGTCTTAATCGGCACATGCGCCGGCTGCAGCTTAGACGTGCTAATCACTTTCTTCTCACGCTCCAAATGCTCCTTCTCTTCGCGTGCGCGCTGCTCCTGCTCGAGCTTGTGCAGTTGCTGTCGCTTCGCTTCCTTTTCGGCCGCCAAGCGTCGTTTCTCCTCTTCCTCCTCCTTCTTCCAGAAGTCCTGCATCACGCTGGGATTCAGCTCCTTTGTCGGTATGACGCGTGTGTAATTTGTGCCCACCGGTGTTTTCTGTTCATCCTGCACACCGCGCGGCTCTTTGAAACTGTACGTTGAGCTAACGGCGCTCAATTTCTTGAGCAAACGCTCCACATCGATGTCGTCTTCATTGCGTGCGTTTATCGTTAAATGTGCGCCGGACAGCAACTTGGCAACATCGTGTATGTGATTGGCACAAGTTCCCTTCCGCAGCACTGGCGCACCCTCGCCCTGCAAAGCATAAAACAAAAACAAGGAATGTGTAAATCAAATAAGTAACGGAGCGACATGACTAAAGTATTTATTCTCAATAAAGTCAACCTCAAGTTCCGATAAGAATGGCAAAAGGGAATAAATAAAAAGTATTATAAAAGATAAGCTTATCGTAGACGACGCCGGGCGTCATACGCAGTTGTTTACAAAGCGTTTCGAGTTTAAAGATTGTACTTTACAAAGTAGTGGAGCTGGTCTATTTATAAGTGAAATAATTAAAAAACAATTCTTTTGAAACAATTTTTTAAGAATTAATTTAACTTCTGTTATATTAGTATTATATTTTTGATTTAGCCCAGTCCGTCTGTCTGCATATATGCGAACTAGAGCTCAGTTTTTAAGATTTCGATCCTAAACTTTGCAACTGCCCTTTTTTCACCAAGAAAGTCATTTGTCGGAACGGCAGACATCGCACTACTATAGCATATAGCTTTCATACTGTGCTTATATGGAAAGCTTTTGACGAGATATTTTAAAATTTTGATTAGGTTCAAGGCAACGGTGCAATCTCCCAAAAAACTGTTCAGGTCGAGTTACTATAGCATATAGTTGTTCTTTTGTATTTGTGAAAGGTAGCTTTGGTGCAACCGAAGTTAAATGTTTTCTTGTTTTCTTTAAAAAGGATGGATTTTCCAGTTATCAGAAAATATGGTAAAATATAAAAGAATTAGTAAATAATAAATTACCGTTAAACTATATTAAATTATTTAATTATAAATTATTTTGTGGCATAGTCGTGCTCAGGGATGCGAATTTTTCAATAAAAATATTTTGGTTTAAAAATTAAATTCCTAAAATAGAAATCAAAAATTGGAATTTTAAATCTTTAATCGAAATTAAAAATTGGAAATTTAATTTTTAATCCTAAAATCAGAGTTAAAATTATTATAAAAATTTTTTTAATTTTATAATTGGAGTTATGAATAAAAACATGCTTTTTCATATCAAAAGTTAGAATGAAAAATGATAAAAAGGGACATATTTCTAACTGAAAAACTATAATTGAGAGAAATTAAATGTATGTAAATAAAACAAAAAGTGCTGAACTGTATTGAACTTTTATTAAAAATAAGGTTTCGCTTTCAAAAGATAACCAAAATGGTAGAACACGAAGTACACAAGCGCAAAATAATTTCAAATTCAAAAACACATTTTTTTTGGATTAACATTTTTTCAATAGCAAACTTAAGATTATAAATTTTCAAAAAATCGGATTTAAAATTTAATTTTAGTTGTTCAATCTAGTATTTCGAATAAGATATTTAATTTATTTTAAGATTTTCGGGATTGCAAAAAAAAATTATTTCAATTTTAATTCAATTGTCTTTTTAGCGCATTATTTGCAAGTGTTTCTTCAAAAATTAAAAAAAAAAACTATTATCTATAAAAGAAGGAACTAAAAAATACATTTATATACACATTTGCTTTTAATAATTAAAAACACATCTGATATAGCGGATTAAAAATTAATAGAGACTTATAATAAGCTACCAAATTTTACTTCTTTCTATATAGAAATTATAAAGTTACTGCCACGTCGGCTCTATATAATCGGATTCTTTCCCATGACAGTCGGGTACATGTAATCGGAAATGAGTCGGCTTTACAGCCTGTTGAGGAATTTAAACTGATCAGCATTTCCTTAAATTAATTGTCCAACTTGATGTTAATTTAAATATACTCTAAGATTCGAACTTTAAACTTTTCAAAATTCAATTTAGTCAAATATGTTTCTTTTGTTGGCTATAGCGGCTATCAAAAACCCTCTTTGGAGGAAAGGTAGGTTATTATAAAAAGCCGTTAAAATTACGTCTGCTTACTAACCTGCCAATTGATGAGTAGAAACTTTTTCAAACCCGTCTTCGGATCTTCAATGCGCACAAAAGCGTACATAATTTTGCCGCTATTCAGATCCTCGCACAACTCCTCCACGCCATCTTCACCGCTGCCCACAACTTTCAGTTCATTCGTTTGACCTTCGTAGCCATAAAGTGACCTGCGGAAGAGCAAATTGCATATTTTATTGAGCACTCACATATACATAGTATGTACGCATGTTTGTATGTACAATATTTTTATAAAAATGTAAATATATTTGTAAGTATGGAAAAAGCAGTGAAATAAAAATGTAAAATTCTCTTAAACGACTAAGCAAAGTGCATACTGGAAGGCGAGCACTCAAAGGGCATAAAGGCAGCGCATACATCGAGTTGACATTAATTGTGGCATAATTAAATTTTTGTGCAACAACTCGAATGCAGTTAACACACCAGGCACTAGGCATTTAGCACAGCAAACTTAGCGTAGTAATGAGTGTTAGTAACTACTAATGAAAAATTGAGGGCACAGAATGCATAGAAGTCGTTGAGAAAAAGTGCATAGGAAATTTCAAATTCACAACTCAACAGTTCAGAGAGTTAATTAAAACTCGGCTGACTTTCATATGAAATAGTATGGCAGATATGCATAAACATACATATGAAAGTACATGTATTTATGTGAATCATTACATAAACAAGAAAAGGGGTTAACTTCGGCTGCACCGAAGCCATAATACCCTTCACAAATACAAAAAAAGAACTTGAGTTTGAGCGGTCCGTTTTTATGGCAGCTATATCGACCGATATTTAGCGGTCCCGACAAATGAGCAGCTGCTTGATGAGAAAAGTGCAGACGGACAGGTGAACGTGGGTAAATCGACTAAGCTCGTCACGCTATCACTTGTATATATATATTTTGTAGGGTCTCCAACATTTCCTTCGTGCTGTTACAGACTTCGTGGCAAACTTACTATATTAAATATGTGTAGGGTATAAAAATATACAGCGTTATATATATATTTACGAGTATATACATACGCTTTACTAAACTCCATTCGTTAGTGAACTTACTGCTGTTGCAGCTTGCAACATGGGGTCATTTAGTAGGCATTGTCACTAGTAACATTTTTTTTTACTGCTTTCAGAAAGTTCTAGTCAGTGATTTTTTCACACATTCCAAATGAAATTCATATTGTGTACATGAATTGGAAACTTGCTTCAAATTGAATATGTAGAATTTATTTGAAACTAGGTGAAATAGTTAGAAAGAGTAGTAATGAAATTAACATAAGATTCTACTCGAAAGAATTATAAAAATAAATTATAGTAAAAGCTATTTATTTTACGAACATTTTGCTGATATTTGTTGTTGGAGTATGTACATATTATTTAAAAATCATTTTTTGGAGCTACACCTACATAGTTAGATATAAAAATAAAAAAATTTTCTCATATTTCGATAGCATCGTTAAAAAATCATATCTCAGATATGATATTGAGTTACAGTCGTCTAAAGTGTAGCCACCCAGTTCAATCAGCTTCATCGGTTTATCTTTAAACGGTTTTTATCTATCAAATTCTGCACGCCTGAATAATTTTGTCGAATTTCGATTTTTTCGACCGTAGACCCTTGTAAGAACCATAACATATAGTAGATTTTTTTTTAGGTTTTATCCATGTAGAAAGCCGGAATCACTGCAGCAGTGGAGGACATCTTTTTTTAACGCCATCGTCGATGTGTTTAATTTTTAAAATTAAATTGTAGTTTTACTGTGTGTTCTTAAAATATGTATTAATATACCCTTAAAAATTTAAAACCATTGATGTGTCAGTATTTTTTTAATTCCCAAAAATGTAACTTTTTAGGCTGTTGCACTAGACGTATCCCTTAAAACAATAATTTTGTGTTTTAGTTGTTGGATTATGTAGATAAATATTTTTAGCCAAATATGTGCGGTACCTCTATTGGTACAGCTGCACACACAATCATCTTAATTAACAGCAAATTTTGTATTATGACTTCTACTGATCACACCGCTCCTGTTTAAAGCTAAATTATGTCCCAAAGCTACAATAAACCAATAAACTATTCTAAGTCGTATACAACGCAACCAACAACGGTTTTGTGGCAAAGTTATCCACTTTAAACACAAATGTGCTTATATTTTTATTAAAATAAGGTATAGTTCAAAAAAAATAGTTAAGTTTGAGTATATAATTACTTATTTCAGTGTGAGCGCTTTTAATTTTATTACAACTACCAGCTGCAAACTCAAATTCAAGTTGAAATTAATGACTGTTTACTGCTTTTTACACCTTTCCGGTTTTCTTGCATATTTTTTAAATGAGCAGTATATACACCTGTATATGAAAATATGCACATACAAGCATAGCTTGACTCATGACAATGCAATCACACATACAGCACAAACATATTTAGACTATTTAAACAATTAAAAGCGTTCGTCACAAAGTAAATATTTATGCAACATTTAACAAAAGACGAGTGAAAGGCGTTGAAGCGCTTTGAGAAACACTGAATTGGAGCGTAATTTAATTACAATAGTATTCAGTATATGTCTAACGGTTTGATTAACTGTTATAGCATTTACGAAAATTTATGTTTGGAAATGCACATTGATCCAAATTTCTTGGAGGAACAAAAAAACAAGAAAAAACATTAACTTCGGTTGCACCGAAGCACCCTTCACACATACAAAAGATTCCTTACAGAAACTTAATTTAGATCGTTCAGTTTGTTTGGTTAGAAAAGAACCAGCGTTTCAGATCGATATCTCAAAAACTAAGGAACTACTTTACGAACATACATATATACATGCAAACGGACATGGTTAAATAGTCTCAGCACGTCAAGCTGACTATATACATATATATTTTATACGATCTCCGACTTTTGGGGTTACAAACTTCGTGGCAAACTTAATATACCCTGTTTAGAGTATTAAAAGGTTATGATCAAACTCACCAGTTAGTGCTGCTTTTATCGTCCAGCACATCATTCCAAGCGGCTACAATTTGTGCGCGATGCTTCTCAAAACTAATAGCCATACTATAGTTTTATAATAAAAACGTTTCTCGCCACAAACCAATAAACAAATCAACGACGACGTACGACTTGCCGCACAAATAACTTTGGCAGTTTTACCCAAAATACACGTTGACGGTTAACGTTTGCTTTGGTTATTACCCACTCCAATGCCGACGACCTTGAACGACGGTTTTGGCACAGCGCCAAAGTATGCACCAACTCAACTGGACCCGAGTTTAGTTGTGGCTACGTCGATTGCGCCGCCTGCTAAACGATGACTTGTGTTGCGTGTGTAGCTGAGTTTGAATGAATGACAACCTGCCTGATTTTTCCGAATTTCACACACTTTCCTTCTGAACCAACACTTGCATTGACACCTGCGTATGGGCAAGGCATACACAACTACAGCTCGTATTTATAAATGTGTTTACACGCGCGGCACACCTGCTTACACTTGCTTCACTTTGCAATTATTCCCCCTCAACTAATTGGACTTTGCAACTGATTTACGCATACGACGCACCCAAACCCTATTTTTACTAAGCCAATTTTTTCCACCAGTTAACGTGTTTATATGTTTGACGCCGCCACACACACTAGACAATTATTAATTCCAGGCAAGTGATTTTCTGTTACTGCGTGGGTGTCAATGTCTTCTTTTGCTTTGCTATCGCTGCTTCAGCCACTGCGATGCTAATTCCACTAACAAAAATTCACATATTAACACGGTAAGCTGCCGTTGGTACTGCCGATGCCGCTGCCACTGCTGCTAACTAGCGCTTCGGCTTTTTAGTGCTTTTAAAATTGATTTTTCTTCTCAGTGCACTAGAATTTTGTGTTTATACAATGCAATGCTTACACAATTTTTGCATAAACTTTAAAAGCAATTTTTTATAATTATTCTTAATATGTTTTTAATATTATTAAACTAGTACCTATTGTTTGCAATATTTTTCGCGAATTTGAAACTTGTATATCGTATTTTGTTATTTACTGACCGACAATTTACTGTCACTGTTGCCGACGACTCTGCTGCTGTTTTTAAAATTCCGATTGGGTGAATTGGCAGAGCGACTCTGTGCACAAGAATTTCTGTTTGGTGCCCAGTGTTGCAAATCGGTCGGCAAAAGTCAGAAAAAGAAACGTAAGAAATTAAATGATTTTATTTTATAAAAATAAAAATATAGCACCTTTAAAAAACTTAGCTTGACAGAAATCTGAGAAAAATTACTATTTTAAAGGTAATGGCTGTTTATACTGATTAAATATATTTATTAATTAAGAAACAGGTGGTCTCAGGATTTTTTTTTAGATTTTCCGAAAAAACAGCAGTTAACTCTTTATAATAAATCAATCCTTCGATCAGATACTAATTTTTTCATATTTTAAAATCTATATAAATTTCATTGAAATCTACCGAGCGGTTTTCGAGCTACAGTGGTCACCAATTCGGAAAACATACATAGTTTTGTAAAAAATCTGTTTGAAGTTTTATACGAACGCTCTAGAGCGCCCGAGAACCCTTTGCTAGGTATCAAATAAGTCAAATAGAATTTGTCGGATTTACATCAAATTTTCAGAGAATATTTCTGAGATACTATACATTAAGAAACGGAGAGATGGAATTTGAAAAAATTTAAAGTTTAATTATAAAATTCTATCAGAGGACTTGAAATAATGTTCGCATTGTATTGACATTTATATTATTTTATGTATAGCGCCATCTGATGATATTTTTCACATTACTTCCTTTTAGCACAGACACAAGCCACTTCTAACGTTCATTACGATTTGAGGTATAGCAAAAGCGACAATGACAGCTGCAAAATTTGACTTGTGCAAAGCAAACTCGGCGTTGACAGCACGTTGGTTGCATCCGATGGCCGCTCAATGGTAATGGCGCTGTTGCCTAAATTCCATTCAAATTCCGCACATACCACTGGACAAACAAACTAAAAGGAAAATACAATTTTATAAAGTCTATAGCAAAAGCGCTAGCTGCAGAAAAGTACGCAAAGAAAGATTCATAGCCAAAGCGACGTTGTCGGTGTCGGTGGTAATATATATATAATATTTGCTAACTTGCTACTCTGCTCGGCCGATCGTTGTAGACGATTTTCTCCACTCGCGCTGTTGACAAATTGTGAAATTTGCGCTAGAAAAATCCAATAAAGTGTATTTTGTGGAAAATTGCGTGCGAAGTGATTATCAAGTGAAATTTTGTTTTTTTTTATGCATTTATTGCTTTATGTAGTTATTGTTTGTATGTACTTAATGTCGCGGCATCGACTTTGCAATCTGCTATTACTGATGCTGCTGCGGTCGATAGGCCTGTCCAGTGATAGTTCGTTGTAGAGCGGCCCCCGTACGCGCTGTGTACAATAAAAAAAAAAATTTCGAATTGGCATTCGCGTCCGTATGTCATTCAAACATATGTGTAGCTTTGTGTTTGTATAGCTGTGTGTATGTATTTGCTTATGTGTGCGGCGACAAACGCGTCAAACAATAACAAAAATGCAGGCTGCTGCACTAATTTCGCCCATGCATTGCTTGTGTACCCCCTCCGCCGACAAAAGTGCAATGCATTTGTAATTCAGCTGCTCTGCAATATGTACATCTGTTCTGCTGCCACTTAGTGCGAATACATAGTTTGAAAGCAGTAAATTTTTGAGGTAATGACTGCAATTGCTTTTTATTGTTTTCATGTTTTCTAACAAAAGTATTTTCTCATTCATTACAGGTAAATTAAACCAAATAATTTCGTTTATGTTTGTATCTTGCAAATAAATTGTGAAAGAATTTAGTAAGGATTTGTGAAAAGAAAGGTGGAGTTTAAGTAGGAACTCAATGTGCCGGATTTACATATATGTGATGCTAAGTTATACATAGGAAATATACATATGTTATATCTCATAGTTTTAAATGGTTAACGAGCATCTACATCAATTGTGAAAAATGTCCTAGCATCTCTATTCGCTATATAGTTTAGATTTGACAGCTTTTATGTGACGGATATAAACGGAAGGTACTTGGATTTATTTATATCCGGCCACTTTTGATTGTTTGAATGTATACATACATTAAAAAAGTGAATTTCAAAAACTGATAAGTTGGTTTATTGAGATTTAAATTAAACAACGTGTTGAAATTATTTATTGATTTATTAATCGATTCTTCCACATACCGATATAACCAATCAATGTCCACGGGCAACATTCAACAAAACAGTTGTATGTAATATGTGTATGCTATAACAACAAGAACTACACAATTGTTAATCAAGTTCATGGTTTTAAGCTCAAATGTAAGATAAGAATGAATAAGAATTCAAATACTAAGATCGTTATATTTTTTATTTGTAACTTATGCTAAATTCTATTAGTGTAAATTAAAGCTATTTCAATATTAAACCATTATTTCTATAATATTTTTGTATACATTTTATGCTGTTAAAATACAACAACAACTAAAAAGTTTGATAAATTAAATTTTTCAAATAAATTTTAATACTTTTGGTAACGAGGTTGCCTACTGCCTCTACTTGCGACTTATTTGTCACTTTTATATAAATAAATATTTAGAGGTTATGTGTAATAAGTGGAATGAGCAAATTATTGATAATTAAATTGTTTAATTTTTAGGGTTATGTTTATATAAAAGTTAAAAATGTGCCAGCAGTTAAAGTGAATTCTTGAACATTGTGATTATTATATTTTTATTTAGTTAACTCATCAATAGTATAATGTTCAAATTTTTAATAATGTTATTATTATCATATAAGTAGAGAAATACTTCACATTTCCCTGCGTTATTTTAAAACAATTTTTTTATTCTATAATGTTAAAAAACAGAAAAGATTAGGAGTCTATCCAAATTTCAATTTTTTCAAATCATATTAAGTAAAATATAATTGAAATATTTCTTAAAAATTGAAGTTGAAGTGAATTCCTTGAGCACTCTGACTATTTTATTTTTATTTAGTTAACTAAACAATATTAAAATGGTTTAATTTTTTATAAATTTTTTTAAATAACGATATTAATATCGGTAAAATTTAATTTTAATTATGAAAATATGTATTACATATGCATATACATATATATTTTGTTTTGAAAAGAAATTATTATTATATTTCCTTCCTCAAACACTTTATTACTAAATAATACCTATTTGTTAAAATAAAACCACACTATTTAAAAAAATATTTTTAAATCTAAATTTGCACTAAAAATGCGAACTACATATTAGATTATACTATTATTATAGGATTTACCTGCAAAAAATGTAAATATGTATTTATTTAGTCTATATCGAATTACAATTGTACTTTCTAGGTTATGTTTATTTAATCAACTTCGGAATTTTAGTGTACCTAATCGCTTAATCGATTAAAGAATGTTATCAGAACTATACAGGTGGCATTTGCTATTGATAAGCTTCGTACTTAAGCAACATGCGATAGTCCAATTAAATAACAATGCATGACTTACAGAATATGTGTTAGTTGTTGTTGTTAGTATATTTGTATTATAAATATATGCACATATACATACATATGTATGTATACGTTCTTTTCCACTCATAATTTGCAACTTCAGATAATTCGAATATTTATCACATTATCAAAGCACTTATAATGGACTAATCAAAGAAACAAATGACAACAAAGTAGATTATTATTGTTGTTGTTTTATCGGCATACAATTTACAACAAATGGAGTGAAGGGACGTTTCTTGGTTAAAAGTGTATTAGAATGCTTCTTCTTTACTCAGCATGAATTTACATATCCATGTATGCATATTTATATTTATGTGTATGCATATCTAAATATATCTAGGTACATTACATATTAATAATAAACTTCGCATATAAAATTTTTATAAGCAATTTTGTTCAACTATTTTGTATCTCCATATACATATGTATGTATATGTATTTGTATATTTGTACGCTAACTACAGTCAATATTGGTTAATACTTATTTCAACTTTTCCAAACCACTTTAATTCAAACAAAATGTCCGAAATTTATCCCAAATGCGATCGCTTACAGCGTCTGGCTTCGTGATGTTTTGTTCAACATCAGCCAATGCGACCTAAAGCAACGTTCCAAAATAAGTATTTACGGGTATAACTATCTATATACTACGTATGTATAAATGTATATGTGTATATATGTATATATGTTTATGTGTATGTGTTTAGGTTTATATATTGCGTTGTCTACTGTTGTCAAGCTGCTGTCCAAGACAAAGAGTTATGCTTCCAACAGCAAAAGCAGTTAAACATATTTACTTGGCACAAACTTATTTACGGCTACAAAATTTCATATATACACATACATATACACAAATACACACATTTATAAGTATGTATATATTTTAAGTACCATATGGTGTGGCATCAATGTTATTTTTTTTTTGCTTTTGGTGATTTGCTTTATTGTTAAGTTTACTTTTGGTAAACTGATCTTCAATTTTTGCTTTAAGCTGAATTCTCGACTTCCCAACTGTTACTTTTGGCAACTCATCCTGCCGGTTGTTAGTCATTTTAGGCGATTGTACAAGAGTTGTGTGGCTTTATTTCTTTTCGTAGATCGAATTCTTCGACTCATTTTCGCACTTTGCTTTATTATGGGTTTTTGTTGATATACATACATATGTACATATATATTAATATACAGTCATGGTGAAAATTATTGACATCACTGGCGGGTATATAAGTCTTCAAATATAACGTTAATTATAAAGAAAACGATTTTTTAAGATTTCGTTGTCGTAAGTATGAATTTGTGAATGAGCGATTACTATCGACATCTATGTTCTTTTTACACCATTATTTCCTGGGGAATGTTTTAATAGCGTTACTATATGCGCAAAATCCCAATTATATTACTGGCAACCAGCCCTCCGAGAAGTATCCGACACTCATATCTTTCTAGACCTTTGCGAATGAAGAAGTAAAAATGGATCCCACAATTGTTCGCCTCACCTCAAATATTATCTGTATTAGAGTTCTAGCATTCAAAGTATACTCATAAGAAGTCTCCAAGCGCTACACGGTTTGCCCTCTTATAAGTTTTCTTACACTGATTTAGTTTATGCACATATTTTATTCATAAAGAATGTGCTTCGATCTTTGTTTTTCGGGGGCGGCTGGTAAAAATGCCTTCCTCATCATGAATGTGTCGTCACAGCAATGGAATGTGCCACTTTCAGGTCACTAAAAAACTCTGCTCTAGGGAACCGTCGCCCACCCTGCGACCACTTACGCATTATTTCAGGGTGGCGTTCCATAATTCTCGTCTTAAGAATTACCTGCGTCCAGGTCCCGTTTTTTAAGCGTAGTACGTTTTCTATGTAATTTTTCACGTTTTTCCAGTTTTCCTCGGTTTAAAGTATGACAGTTATGATGTTGTCCGCATTTAGGGGGCTGATCAAAGTGTGCAGCCTATTTCGCTGTGTTTGTCAGCGTATGCATTTAAAGAACTTGTATTCAGCGTCATCCTCGATCGATCAAGATGGTTCTTCAACCATTTTATATAGATATTTCCTAAAGTATCCGTGCCCGGATAACATCTATGTACTTCTTAGAGGTTTAATACAGCAAGATTCTGTCTTTAACATAGCTTCTCCGGCTTTAAGTCAGGTATTAAGCATTTGTTGTAGCACTTTTTTGTAGGGTTTTCAGCTATTATATTTAGTATTTTTGCTGGTATTCCGTTTGGTGTGCTCCGAGCTTTGAAAATTTTTAAAGAGTTTTAATAAAAAGCAAGTTTCAGTAAAACAGTATTAAAAAATAATTATTTTTAAGATTTAATTTATTCGAAACAACCATTGACACGCTGACAAATATTTGTCTACAAATACATACATAATAACAATAACAATAAGTTTAAAAAGCACATATTTCAATAAATTATCGTTAATTTTCCATTTCTTCTTTTTCAGCTGTTGGCAACATTATCACCAACGTCGCCTACAACCCTTTCAGCATTTTTGCACTCAAACTCATCTCTCGAAACATAACCATAACCGTTACTTTGCGAAATAAATGTCACAGTGTTTTGTTCTTGCTTAAGATTTTTCATTTCTCATTGATTTTAATTTTATAAAGCATATTTCTTTGTGCGTGTGTGTGTGAGGGTACACCACCCGCGCGCCGTGAAGCGAGAAACCACCTTGCGAATTTTCGCACAGCTGTGGCTGTCAATGTTGTTATTGTTGTTGTCGCCATTCTCGTTGCCAATAACTTTGTTGATTTCGTACGCGCATTTATACTTATTACACATATTTACCATAAATATATGCCATATATGTGTGGGTGTTTGTAGGGGCACATTTATTTTCAACGCGCTTGGTTGCGCAGACAACACGTCGTCGCTGTTGGCGCAGCAGTCACGGCTATCTTGGACTTTTGTACACTACAATGACAACAAAAACAACAGCAATAATAAAATAAATAATGATTATACCAACAACAACAGCAGCAGTGGCGCTGTAACGGCTAAGCGAAAACGTCAAAGCGGCGCTAGGGTGGCGCGACCGTCCTGAGCGCACATACTCAAGGCTCTAACAAAAGCGCGCATACATCGGCATATGTCTGTCGATAACGCTAACTCGCTTGCAAATCGACAAAACAGCAAAGCACCTTTCCCTCGCCACCAGCACCCTTACTCCGCCTACAACTGCGCCCAACGTCCGCGTCATTGTACGCGCTGTCGCTACCGCCGCGTTTGTCGTTGCGCGTTGTAACGCGTTTCGCTTGCCGTATTGCCGCGACTGCGTTTGCCGGTTGTTCAGTTTGCAAATTGTTACCTTTGCGTTTAAATTATTTACGCGCGCCAGTGTGCGTGCGTGTCTGTTAGTGCGCGCTTATTTTCTTCGTATTGCCTTTGGTTACGCACACGCGCATCTTTAGCGCTTGTCAGTTGCGTTTGGCAAGCGTATTGAATTTGTTGCAATTTCGTGATCTTTTTGCTTCGCTTCGCGTGTAGTCGTTGTGTGTGTGCGCCCTTGCAGAGTCGCACATTCAAATACAAAGCAATTAAAAGTGAAACTCGAAAATTGCGCAAACTTTTTAAATATTTTTGTATAAATTTTTGCATATTTATTTATATTTTGTAAAATTTTACAGTGTCTCTATAGTGTTCGTGTGTGTGTTTTATGAAGTGTAGCCTATTTGAATAACAAAACAAAATTGTTGTTGGCATGTGAACATAGTTAGAAGAAATTGTGAAAATTGTTTAAAAAAATTGTTAAAGTGCAAACAGTGTATAAGAATTTCCCAAAGTTGACATTGAACGCCGTTTTGTTGCTATCGTCAAAAGTAGCTGATATTGAAAGAAAAGGCGCTTCTCATCATGGAAACTGCATTGGATGTACTGTCACGTGCTGCCACAATGGTGCAGGATAATGCGAACGGTGAGTGCAATTTTATATAGAATTTTGTGGGTGTAAACCATAACTGTGAAAGTTAACATTTCTGGATATATAATTGAAACCTGAAAGCAAAACAAAAAAATAAAACATGAAAACACAAAAAAATGTGTAGAAAAGCTTTATATAATTTAGAAATGGCTTAACATTTTTAAAAATTTCTTTAATTACATCATCAGAGCTGAAAAAATTGATATCCTGGAGTTTTTATAATTTATCAAGCGATGCAGTTATTACTAATAAAGTACATACTTAAACAGTTATCTACTATATTATCTTCCCGATGTAAATCCTCATTCCATATCTGGATTTTATTATTCCTATCTCGACTTTCAGAAAGTAAGCCTCATGAGTCATGACATATTTAAGTCCTCAAAGTCTAAGTCTAGATTTTATTACATGAGGAAATATGTATTTCTTCATATTCAAAAAATGGACAATTTTTTTCACACAAATAGCTTTTACTCTGCAGTAGCCTTAGTAAACTAAATAAAACGATATTATGACATTATTTCTATACTCTTACATATTATATACTAAACACCCTTCTTATTAGACTAAGCATATCCTCTTTGTGAATTGAGATTATTCGGAAACGTGAACATCTTTTTTATATCGGAAAAACACTCGAAAATGCTTTTTTTTAATAACAAGTTCAGGTTCTTTTGAGGTCGATACATGGTCATTAAATTTTTCCATATTGCATAGAGGTATAAAATTAGTTTTAAAATTTTTAAATATAGTGTTTCAAGGGCTTTTCTTTTAATTGCGATTAGCGTAGTACTTGAAGAGTAATGTTCTGATAGTTCTGAACTATAATCATTCCAATGGACAAAACCAGTACAGTTTGGTAGTCTAAAAAGTTTTTGAGCTTTCGAGATGATAGTTTTCCCTAGATAACGCCGGGAGGGACTTTCGAAATTTCAATTTCATATTTTCATACTCTGAATAGAGAGGAGTGTGTTAAGTTTGCCACGATATTTATAACACCCAAAAAAAACGTCGGAGACCCTATAAAGTATATACATACACACATATATTGATTTAGCCATGTCCGGCTGTCTGTATATGTCCTCTTTTCCTTAAAAACTGCTTATTTGTAGGAAACGCAGGTATAGGACTACTATAGCATATAGCTACATACAAGCTGAACGATCGGAATCAAGTGCTTGTATGGAAAACTTTTTCATTTGACTCCGAAGAAGTTGTTCAGATCGGATCACTATAGCATATACATAGCTGCCATATATGCTGAAACCATTTTTTTTTTTGAACACTTTGGAGGGAAAATGCAATTTTGTGTAAAAAAAACCTGCTGATGAGATATTGTAAAATAAAAATTATTAACTAAATTCTGTATTGCAATGTTGTTCATTATAACAAAAGTATAGTTGCAACAATTTTGAAATTATAAAGAAGACCTATTTTGAAAATGTAAGTTGTGGGGCAAACACCTTAAAGTTTTGAACCAAAAATTTAAATAAAAACTTTCATAATAAAGATATAAAAATACTCTTAACTTCGTCAATTTTGCTCCAATCGACTTGTTTATATTTTGACCCAATATTCTTGAGCTACAAATTTTAATACCTTAGACATCCCAATTTTTTGTTACAGTTACGCAAATCATGCTCTAATTTAAATTTTGTCTGAATTCTTAGTGACATCGTCACACAGTAGATATTTACGACAAATACCTTTCTGTATCATTTTCAGCATAACTCACTTCGAAGACCACACAAGTTGTCAAGCATGATGCAAACCATATTCACTATCTAGCAATCAACGCATGCATTCATTTATACTTATGTACATAGCTTTTGCATATTTTTACTGAAACGTACAACTTGACTTCCTGGAAAAGTGTAAATCCAAATTTTCCACATATTTATGCTTTGTCACAATGCAATAAATAGCCGAAAAAACGGAAATGCCGAAGTGGTTAACGACCACGGGCTAATGCGCTAATGTGAACCCACTGCCACAGGCAATTAAATACAACAACAAATACAGTAAAACCAGCTGAGCGAAGCCACACCGGGTCAGACGATTGCAATTATGAAAAATTAAAAAATTAAAATAAAAAGATAAGAATAATAAGAAACATTTGTTAAATACAACACTGTCATGCGTGAATTCCACTTAAGTGATTAAATGTAGTTTGTGGCACAAATTGCGGTAAAGAAAAACCAAAAAGGAAATGTTGGAATGTTATAAAATTAATAGTTTCAAATAGCTATGGTAAAAATTGTAGCACCAAAATACTCAGTCATTTTCTTGCTTGTCATATTTTTTTTAATATTTTTTTCCTGTTCTCCATTTTAACTTAGGGCATTGCGTTACCAAAAAATCTCGCACGAATTATCCCGCCTTTCTTTTGCTTTTGAAGACAGCAACCTTTGGAATTAATTTTTCAACATAATTCGTTTAACAAGAAGCCTTGTTTGACTGGTTAGTAAGATTGTAGTTGATTCGTGTTTTAGGGAGCGCTCTTTCGTATTATCGTATTTTCCTCTGTAATGCTCCAGGCTTACGGGATAATACTTAAGTTCATTGCCTTACGTAGATAGCATACCGTTTCTCTTGCAGTTCTCGGATTCCACTATACCAAATTTGAACAGAATTGTCTAAAAAACAACCACACTTTCACGTTATTTAATAAAAATCTCTATTATCGCCTTTAATCCAACTTTTCATACACTTGTTACAAGATGTTGAGATCCTATACTATCTGTCTGATGCTAATTTGTCGTTTTTTAAGCACTGTTTTTTTAACTTTTGCGATGTTATCGTCATTAAAAAAGACGACCAACTCGCATGAGACAAGTTTTCGATGACTTCACGACCTTCACTGAATGCCCCAAAGCACTTGTGCAACATTTTCAACTATTCCGTAGCCGTGATTTCATCGGAAACACAAAGTTTCAAGCAAACTTTTTGTTAAATTTTCTCCATCGTAAAAATCGCCAGACAAACATTTCGCCCTGTCATCCAAAGAACATAAAAAAATTATATATGTACCTGTCTAGGAAATTGTTTACCTTTACGTTCAGCGCGCGCAGTTTAAATGGATCAGTCCGAGTCAGATTTGATCAGACGGTAAAAAAGCTAAGTTATTCTCGACAGGTAACTCGGTAGTCTTGACTGGCGATAAGAATGCTATTAATATTCTTCAACAAAAAAAAAGAAATTGAAAGAGACGTCCTCTCCAAATATTCGTTCGATATCAATGATTGTAAAAATCTTCATCATTCTGATAAAGAAAAAAATTTGAGGAGCTACTAAATTCAGACATAGTGGCATATGTAACGTCTTCCCGAGCAGGTGAAAACGGAATCGATGATTTGCTTTTTGTGGCTTTAAGATCTAAAATTTTACAACATTTTTCGTTAATTCAAGTTACGTTTCGTGAAGATATTTCGTCAAATGAAAGAGTTTTCCATATGTACAATTATTTGATTCCGATTGTTCAGTTTGTATGACACCTACAATATATGCTATAGTAGTCCGATATCGACGATTCTGACAAATGAGCAGCTTCTTGAGGTGAAAAAGGCGTGTGCAAACTTTCAGATCGATATCTCATAAACTGAGGGAACAGTTCGCTTATATACAGTCAGACAGACAGACATGGCCAAATCGACTCAGCTCGCCTTGCTGATCATTTACATACACACATATGTATATATTTTATACGGTCTCCGACGTTTCCTTCTGGGAAGCTCATCCATATGAACAAATCATACTTTCTAAAATCATGTCATCTAATTAGCTAATTCGAATTGTTTTTGAGTCTTTGATTATGTACATTTTTTTTCTTTTTTAAATAAATTATATTCTAATTTTGTAAATTTCATATTAATAATTTTACATTTTGAAATTTTATATTTAGTTGTTTGAATATTTAGCTTTGAATTCGTATTTATTTTTTTCTATATTTTTTTTATTAAATTTATTTATTTCTTTAAAAAAATTATTTATTTATTTATTTATTAGGGTACAATAATTATGTAAATACAAAGAAAACATAAAACATCATGCCCATATGTTTGTTTTAATTATTGAAAAATAGTTTAAGTAGAATCTCCTACTCGCCCACTTTTTACGCACACAAACATTCATTAAGGCAATTAAAAAAATAATAATCTATGTAAATTTTTAAATTCTTTCGCGGAAAAAAATTCTATTTTTCTTTCCACCACAAAAATTACAAAAAACAAATAAAACACATTTGAAATTTCCAATTTTTCAGATTTTTAACAATTTACTACATCATTGTGGTCTGTATATACAATTGTTATCGCCAAGAAGCAAAGTGGGTAAATCACAAAAAAATACAAAAGCAAAACGCAGAACATAACAAACAATCACGCATTCCAACACATGACACTCAAAAATGTTTCAAAAATAAACAAAATTCCAAGAAAATTAACACGTCTGAAAATATGCACGCTATAGTTAGTGAGTAGCATATGTATGTACATATACATAAATGTATGTTTATTACATATGTGTGCGTAGGCGCGTCTACCGCAAACATTTTACTTTAGTAATCCACAAAAGTTTTGCAAAAAATTGGACAAAACAGCGACAGTTTTGCAACCACTAAACGCTTAGTGACAGTTTGATGGCCACTGCATTGTTCGGCTTTATTTGCAAATGCAATTGTTAAATCGAATTTTCACGCGCAAGCAAAAAATTTACGGCGGCTGAGAAAACATTTCGTATGCAACACACATACACATCTACATAAATATGTCGACAGCTTTGAGGCAGTTGCGAAAATGGCGCAAAACATTTTCATAAAATTATAATTTATTATTAGAGGCAGAGCGGCCGGCAGACAGGCGAAAAACGTCAAACGATTATCGAAAAAATGCGAGCAACGCTGCAATAAAATGCTCAACACTTCCAATCGTAAAAAAATATTAAATATTTTCATATGCAAGAAATAAAAATTTTAGAACACACAAATTAAATGAGCGCAACAACAACAACAATGCGGCAAATACTCAAGTCGTCTGTCTGGCAGTCTAATTTATTAGATCAAAGCGGCGCAGGTAGACAATAAATTGAAATGTTATTTGTATGCTTAAGTGATATTATAT